CCATTTGGAAAGTAAACAGTGGAGGAATCTCTTTCTCCAATCTCACTACCTACCATTTCTGCCCCACCACATCACTCTGAAGTTCAAACAAATGATCTTGTAAAAATACAGATAATTCAAGGAAACTAAGAAAATAGTTCATATCATATCAAACAAACTTTATATCCAAAACTGTACAAAGAGGGAAAATGAAAGGGTTAAGTGTAAAGGTGATTCCTGGAAGTCTGGAATCTCCAAAGACACCTGCATCTATTATGAGCAAAGCTCCTGTTTCCTGAAGCATCAGAAAGCAGACAGAAGAAAGGGATACCCTTGGAGTTTTTGGATTTATGGAAAAGACAGCTATCTTTGAGGCATGCTGCTTCATTACTGTCTGTGTTGAAGTGATATGATCAGGACCCCCAAGCCTATACATTGTAAATTCCTGTTGCATACTTTCTGTTTTGTGTCACTCTTAGCCCCTAATCATGTACTTGCTCACTGTCACGTAGCTTTTGATTCTCTTACAAAAAAAATAATAAACCCATGATTATTTCGTTCAGGGAGTTTTTTGCTTATGGCAAGAAGTTGCCATTTGGACTAGAAATTAAAATCATCTTGGAGTCTTGATCGGACTTATTGAACCCCAACAAGAAAACATTTAACCTAGTAGTTAAGGCACCAGGTAAGATGCTTGTGTCTCCACTGAAGTGCACGGAATCAGCACCCAGCTCTTCCTCCTGATGCCAGCCTCCTGTAATGCAAACCACGGGGCACAGCTGTGATGGTTCAACTAAATAGGTTCCTGCAATTCACATGACAGCTACAAAGTTACCTGATCAAAGCTCTTTCTCAGTCTTTGGAAGTTGGAAAACTCTCACAAAAATACCAGGCCAGCGTTCTATATTCTGTCGGATCGCTGATTACCCAACTAGTCACAACAGACTCTCACCCTGTCAGTGCTTGCCTCCCAAACAGAGCAGCAACTGAACCCTTCCAAACTGAGACACTGCTACTCACTTCTCCTCCTGTGGACACTTTTCCACAGAGGAAACAAACATGGGGGAATCGTCCCTCCATCCTTTCCTTTTCCTCACAAAGAAAATCAGTTTTCTAACTTCTGGCTGTGTTTTTGGCACATGTAGAAAATTGTGACACTTTATTCATGATTGTTTAATCTTGGAAGCAATCAAGATGCCCCTTAGTAGATGCTTGTATATATAGACTGTGCGAAGTCCAGACAAGCAGATACCACTCAGTGATAAGTACAATGAACAATCAAGCAATGAAAAGACACAGATGCCTCTTAAATTCATACCACTGAGTGAAGAAAGTTGGTATGGAGAGGTTGTCTGCTCTATGATTCCAGTTATATAACATACTAGGCATGGCTACAGAGGTAAGAAGCAGGCTGGTGCTTGCCTGGGGCTCAGTGGTGCCTGGAAAGTGTGAGGAGCTAATGAATAGGGAATGTTTAGGGAACTGAAGCAGTGCTGACAATGACGGTGCACATTGTCATTATCCACTTGTCAAATCCCATAGGTTGGGTAACACAAACAGCAAGCCCTAAGGTGAACTGTGGACTTTAGTTAACAAAGCTATGCCAATGTTTTCTAGAAAACTGAAACTGCCCCCACACTCAGAATATTAATATGCTTTAATGTTGTAAGAAAAGAATGTGGTTGTCTCATCATGAGAAGAGACTATATTTTAGACCTGTTTACTATGTCTAAAGACCATGATATTCAGGGACCCATGAAAGTGTTTACTTTCATTAATCTTAGGAGAAAAACATAAATAATAATTAACAAGTAATAAAAATTCAGTTTTTGTAAGTTAACTTAATTTTTTAAAAGATTTTATTTATTCTTATTGCAAAGTCAGATATACAGAGAGGAGGAGAGACAGAGAGGAAGATCTTCTGTCCGATAGTTCACTCCCCAAGTGACTGCAATGCCCGGTGCTGCGCCAACCCAAAGTTAGGAGCCAGGAACTTCCTCCATGTCTCCAACGTGGATGCAGGGTACCAAGGCTTTGGGCCATCCTTGACTGCCTTCCCAGACCACAAAGAGGGTGCTGTAAGGAAAGCCAGGCTGCTGGGATTAGAACTGGTGCCTATATGAGATCCTGAAGTATGCAAGGCAAGGACTTTAGCTGCTAGGTCACTGCACCGGGCTCTCAATTTTTTTCCTTAATGAAAGAAGGAGCAACAGTTAACGAGGGTGTAGAGATTCCCATGTGGCCGTGGGACGTGATGGCAGAACATTACGCTGAGAAACCTGAGTGTAGGCATGCTCTAGGCTGGAGTTCAGTGAAGAGGGCCTAGCTGCTTATAGAATATGAAAAGCAGGAGGCCCGGGGCAAGTGTTGCACAGGCAGCTCAACTGCCAGACTGTGGATTAGTAAGTAAACTAGAGCCTGTAGAAGCAGGTTTAGGGCCAGGGAGAAGCAAGGATGTGGTTGATTTGAATGGCAATCTGGGTTAAAGGAGTGAAGGCTTTGAGTAGGCTCCTGCAGGCCAGTACCAAGGGAGCAGAGAAGAATCCTTTTCTCCAAAGTGAATATATGGGAATATTCATATTCATATATGGGAAGTTGGTCTTAGCAGATAGTCACTGTGTATTCTTTTCTTTTACTGATTTATCCTTTGCCTCTCCTTTCACCCCCAAATAAACAAGCTAATAAGCAAATGCTTTTATGAGTCACAGAATTTCATTAAATTATTCACATCCGTTTCTGCAGCAAAATTTCTTTTTTTTTCAAGTCATATTTATTTATCTGAAAACACAGTGAGAGAGAAAGAGAAAATCAAAGAGAAACCTTCTTTCTTTTGCTTCACTCCTAAAGTGGAGTGCCTCACTCTTGTCAGCTAATGCTGATGCAGGCTGAAGCCGAGAGCCCTAAATGGTCCTTTCTAATTTGGCAGGACAGAAGTGCTTGACCATCCTGCTGCCTTACCATGGACATTAGCAAGAAGCTGGGTAGAAAGCAGAGCAGCCAAGATCAAACCAGCACACCAGTATGGGACAGTGGCTTAACCTGCCATACCGCAATGTCCACCCCTGCAGTAAACTTTCAGCAGACACCTTAGGTGAATAGTCATTTTCAAGAAATCTTCAGTGAAAGCAAAACAAAACCAAAAGCCCCACCAAAAATTCTCTTTTTAAAGTATTCTTTTTTTAAAGATGAATTTATTTTTATTGGAAGGACAAATTTATAGAGAAGGAGATAGAGAACGATCTTTAATCCCCTGATTCACTCTCGAAGTAGCTACAATGACCAGAGCTGAGTTAATCCAAAGCCAGGAGCCAGGAGTCTCTTCTGGGTTTCCTATATGGGTACAGGGTCCCAAGGCTTTGGGCTGTCCTCTATTGCTTTTCTAGGCAACAAGCAGGGAGCTGGATGGGAAGTGGAGCAGCTGGAACACGAACCAGCGCCCATGCTATCCCGGTGCATAAAAAGTGAGGATTTAGCCACTAGGTTATCACACCATGCCACAGCATTCTTTGGTCATCTTCAAAAGATCTTGAGTGAAAAATACTACTGGCTCTGGATTTCCTTCTTTGCAATGTGGTGAATGCAATCAGTGTCCAAATGTGGTATGTAGAATGGTTTGTGGAGGAGGTTATTAAACACTTGATCTCTAAAAATCAGCCTATCCCTTCCCCATTCCAGTAACATAGACACTGGAAATGTATATTTAACAATGACTTGAGCTGATTCTTGTTCTACAGCCAATTGGTAGAACACACTATGAAAACATCTGCCTGGTACTTACACATAATCTCCATTCTGAAAAACGCTTTCTTAGTCTCAGAAGAACCCGACACAATTGTGCAGAGGTTAAAGTCCTTGCCTTGCACATGCTGGGATCCCATATGGGCGCCTGTTCTAATCCCAGCAGCCCTGCTTCCCATCCAGCTCCCTGCTTGTGGCCTGGGACAGCAGTTGAGGACGGCCCAAGGCCTTGGGACTCTGCACCTGTGTAGAAGACTGGGAAGAGCTCCTGGCTCCTGGTTTCAGACTGGCTCAGCTCCAGCCATTGTGCTCACTTGGGGAGTGAACCATTGGACAGAAGATCTTCCTCTCTGTCTCTCCTCCTCTATGTATATCTGCCTTTCCAATAATAAATAAATAAATCTTAAAAAAAAAGAAAAACAGAGAGCTTGTTATGCTGCAGGAGTTTCACTACCGTGTGATTGAAACATATTTTCACCAAAAGATATATACGAGAATGTTTACAGCCCTGAACTGGAGCCATCCCTAATGTTCATCAGTAGTTGAATAAAAGCTTTGAGCTCTTTTCATGGAAAATATGTTCATTTTTTCCCAGTAGTTAACTCTAACAGTAAAAATATCAATAAGCAAGCTGCATCTTCATTCCCTTTTCAATTTTCCAGTTAATTGTTAAACTGGTGATCAGAATATTTGCTAAATGAATAATGCTTGCCAACAAATTGGGAGAGTTAATAGCAGGAAAATATCTAGAACAACATCTCTCAGATAAGGAAGGAATTTATGATCACCAATTTCAAATTCCCAAGCTTCATTTAGAGAAACTTCCAGCTAATTCACATCAGGATGACAGTCAGGACTTACCCTGGAAAAATGCCTAACAATCAATCAGCTACACCCATTGTTCTACCCACCTTGGCGCAGCGACCCTTCCTGATCTCAGAGTCCTCCTGCTACAGGAGTGGACATTGCAGATAGAATGTAGACAAAAAAAAAAAAAATCACATCCTCGGGTAATTCAAGAAGTTCAAAGAAAATATTACATTTTTTTCCTGTGAATTTAACTTTGAATATGCAAAATTTTTCTCTGTGCATCATTTATGTAGACAGTGTAACTCATAAGGTACTTCGTGGATTTTGTGCCAGGGAGACTATCCCCAAACTTGCTGTTTTTGAATTTCATTTCACTGTAATCTCTTTTACAAAAGTCTGGAACCCACTTCCTGTTTGAGCCCTGCTCGGGGCTGGCCCAGCTCCTCCCCCACATCCCTCCCAGGCCCCACCTTGCAGGCAGCCTGCTTAAAAAGGACACAAGCCATTGAGCAGCAGCAGCACACCAGGACTGACACTGCACCGGGCCATGGCCACCTTCGTGGAGCTCAGCACCAAAGCCAAAATGCCCATTGTGGGCCTGGGCACCTGGAAGGTAAATACCCACAGTGTGGCCTCTGTCTCCTCTCTGCCTTCCTGGGAATGCCCTGCTGAGTTTGGGAGAGATATAGCCAGGGATGTGGGACCCAAGTGACTCTCACTTTTCATTTCAGATTCAGGTCTCAGAGTTGCAGGTTGTTTTTTTCCAGCACTTCACTAGAGAGTGTCAAATTTCAGCCAACTCGATGGACTTAGAAAAAATAACAGTTGTTTTCTAGGGCAGTGTCTCTCGTGCAGCCACTCCTGCCGGAATGTTCTCTAGCTCCGTGGCACTTAAAGGAGACAGCATTTGCTGGTCTTGTCATGGATTCTCCACTAGCAGGATGATTGAGAGGAGAGGTAGTAGAGGATCTGGACACCCCAGGCTGTCCTGTCCTCTGGTGTGGGACTTGGGTCTGCAGACAAAGCTGGCCTGCTTCAAGGGAGCTGTTTCAAGTGCAGAAATTCAGGCCCCACCACCTCCTGACTGGTGCCCGAGCTGGGATCCCATGGCCTTTGTCTTACAGGTGCTTGGTCAGGTGAGCTCAGATTGGGAGTCAGCAGTACAGTTCTCTCCTGGACCATTTCCCCAAAGGGCTGTGTTAATATCAGCTGGCAAAGCAGAATAAGGCACATCTGTAGCTCTTTGAGAAATGTCTGCTTTTATTCCATTGTCTTCTGCTGCCTGTCCCCACTTTCCTCAGTCAGGCACTAGTCTAACAAGTCTTGGATTCCTCTTCTCCTTCTAGGAGAATCTCCCTAAGGAGTCTGTCCCGAGGTCCACATTGGAGCTCAGCCTTCGATGAATGATGTGACCCCCAAAGCACTGATTCCACCCTGCAACACTGATCAAAATAGGGTGTTCAGGATGAGTAGGGATATAAGGGGAGCTGTTGGCATCACTTGAAGCTGACTTCTGTTTTTGAGCTCCTGTACTCATCAGGGGAGAGACGGGGACACAGGGTACTCGTGAGCCTCCAGTCCTTGTCCCTGCATTGGGGTGGGTGGGTGGCCCTGGGGTGCGTGCTTTTCCACAGATTTTCTCTTTCTCATGAAAGAAGGTTAAAGAAGATTCTATAACGGACATTCGGAGTACTTTCTTCCCCATTTCCTTGCTCTCTGACTTTGGTTTGGCTACATCAGACCTCAGAGTGGCACTTTCAGTACTGTATTTGTTTTTACCCCGGGGAGATTAAGACTCTTACCAGGTCTTCTGTGTCCTAATGGTTTGCATCTTCCTAGGCTGCCTTTGGGTAGGTGACTGGCTGAAAACCTTTCTCCTCATTTTGGCACGTCATCATCACACAGCAGCAGGGAGTGACAGGGGACTGTTAACATTCTTGTTTTGCAGGGAAGATTTAGAGACAGAGTTATCTGAAAGGCCCACACACCCATCACGTGAGGGACTTATCTTGCAGGGGCCATCTTCAAGATCCTAATCACCAGTGGAGGAACTTGTTTGTACTTTTCCCTGAAACAACACAGACTCATTTTTAGCCTTTGTCTTTAAAAACTGGTAAAAGAATATTTTAGTATTACCTTGGATTTAAGGGAAACTAATTTTTATCTAGGAAAGAACGTGAGGTCATCATCTTAAAATTAACTCGCTTTTAGTCTTTTGTTTTGCTAAGTTGTTCATGCTGTGTCTTGCTCCTACGTGTCTTACGGAAAACAGGGCTCCACTGAGACCTTGGTTTGTAGAAACTTGGCCATATGGAGACTGTTGGGGTGGGAAACAAGTGTCCAGTGATCTCTTCTTTTGCTTCTCAGTCTCCTCCAGGCCAAGTCAAAGAAGCAGTTAAGGCAGCCATTGATGCAGGGTATCGTCACATTGACTGTGCCTATGTCTATAAGAATGAGAATGAGGTGGGAGAAGCCATCCAGGAGAAGATCAAAGAGAAGGCTGTGAAGCGTGAGGACCTCTTCATCGTCAGCAAGGTACAGATGCTCTTGTGGGGGGAGGACCTCGCTGCAAGACAGCATGAACTCTCCCAGCCTTTCCTACATGTCCTCACTCCCATCAGCCCTCTTCATATCTGCATTTACACCATTCCTGGACTCAGAGCTTTCCACACTAGACCTGTATCTAGGAGTGCTGCTAGCAGCCCACACTCGTGGAGCTGACTTTCCCACAGTAGGGATAGTTCCACTGAGCCATGTGGTACCTGTGGTCTCCTTCTTCCTTGTCAGTGGAATCCACCCTCTCAGTGGCAGTTAGAGGTTAAGGGTACAGTCAGGGACAGACAGTGAAACCCACCTTTTAGTACTGCTGTCTCTGGCTGAGACCCTGATGTTCTCAGGCAGTGGGCATTTCACAAGGCTGTGAGAACCCTTCTTGTTGCATACAGATTTCTTTTTATTTCAGTCTCATAAAAGGTGACAAAAATGTAAGAGAGAATCTTAGATATAAAGAACTGAGAACTATTGGCTCTTTATCATACATACATACTGATATTTCTCAGCTTACCATCCTTTCCTCACTCACACCCTTCCCTCCTTCTGCCTTTCTTATTTTTCAAATTTTCTGTGAAAATTTCTTTAAAAACTAAACTAAAAATGCCCTAGTTTAGTGATATAGACAATGGCTATAAATAATAATTGAATGGAAAAATGAACAATCCATGCATTTACAAAAAAAATTTATAATAATCCCATGTGTCATTAAAGAAATTGACTAAAATTTAAAAGCTAGATATAGTTCCTCCCTTCATAGAACAGACAGCAAGGATAGCAACAACATAAGAAAGTAAAACATTGAATCCATGACCAAATATGCTAAATAAGATAAGAAGCATAAAGAAATCTTAACGCGGAAAAAAGTTGCAATCAACTCTGAGAAATATCACTGACTTGCTGAGTGATAAGTTTTTATACCAAATTCTTTATCTTGTCCAGTTTTATTAAAAATGGCCTCTCCCCAGGTTAGATCAGGAGGCAAGCCCCAAAGCTAGGAACCTGTGTGATAGTGCCTTTTCCTTAACCATTTCTAGCAAAAATGAGCCTCATCCCTCACGCCTTTGATGTAAGCTCTATCAGACCAGAATCTCTCCTTTACTGTGTGGTTCAGTGCAAGTCAACAACTTACTGCAGATGAAGTAAGACAGTGAAGAAATTGGCGCAACATCAGCCATTCCTGTAGGTTGACTGACAGAATTCAATGAGCACCTCTTTGTCCAACACCCTTCTGCTGAACTTTACTTTGAGAAGTTTTCTTGATTAAGCTAGGCAATACCCATTCTGTCCTGAGACCCCAGGTCAACTGGAGCTCACGTTGCCATCACAGTTGCCTATCATTGAGCTGTCCAAGGAAGGCTACAAGCACTGTGGGGAAAGCCAAAGCCCACAGATGGGTGGGTCACACAGTGTTTAGTTTCCACTTCCGGCTGTAGAATTCACCACCCTAGGAGGCTGGGGGGGTGGGGGGAGTCCAGAGAGGAAACCATGGCTGTCCAACGACTTGCTCTGTGCCTTGCAAAATTGCTCTATTGTTCTGATGTCAGTGATTGGTTTATTGTGTTTGAAGTCATCAGATGTAGCTTTGGGGTTCTAGAACATTTCTTTCAACCAGGTTTCAGGGGTTCTATAACACTAACATCCTACTGTTGTGTTCTGCAGTTGTGGCCCACCTTCTTCGAGAGAAAACTACTGAGGGACGCCTTTAAGAAGACCCTCACGGATCTGAAACTGGAGTATCTGGACCTCTATCTTATTCACTTTCCAGTGGGACTGCAGGTAAGCTGTTTCCTGCCATGAGCAGGTAGCAGACAAGAGCAGTGGCAGCTATGCCACATCTTATGCATGGGTTAAAGTAGGGGCTTTTACTCTGAGCAGAAAGGCATGGCCTAGAAGAGAGGAGAAAGCCATGTATTGTTGCTCAGGTGGCCATGTGCCTGCTTTTCTTGCACTTATGCCAGAGAGAAGTCATACATTTTGACATCCCGGCTAAGCTTCAGTTGCCATACACGTTTGAGTCCATGTCCTCTCCTGGGTTCCCCTCCCAGGGCACTTCCTGGGATACTGTTGCTTAACAGTACCTCATGGTTCAGTCCTTTTGTTAATGGAAACATAGCCTAGCAGTAGCATCTTTGATAATTGTCAAGTATGTAGATGTTGCAAAATGCCATTCTCATCTGAACTCAGTGGTGGGAGGAGCAGAAATTCCCCACTGTTGGCTTTTGGCCAGCCAGTATGATGAGACACACCTCTGTAACCCTAGCCTTAGAAGTGCAAATGTAGAAATAGACCAGTATGCTCCCCCAGAAAACCACATCCCTGAGATCCAACTCTTGTATAGTGTTTGTAAAGTCTGTATTTGCCTCCAAGTGTATGTATGAGACCTGCGTATCTGAACTGAATATTCATGGCATGATGGTGGCTTCATGATGTACTAACTGTTGATGTTGAAGTTTCCAGCAGTTTCTAAAACATAATCATTGTTATGTAGATTGTTACAGTAGATTGTTACAGTAGATTGTTACAGTAGATTGTTACAGTAGAAATTTTATATAAACTCACACGGTTGAAGTGTATATTTTCGAGCTTGAGAAATTGGTATGTAGATGCAGAGCTATAGAACCGGTCAGATTCTGAATACTGTTTCAGAAGATCATGTATCACCAGTAAATTTCAAGAAGATTTCTGTTCTGCATTCACAGCCTGGAAAGGAAATATTCCCTAAAGACGAAAAAGGCAACATTCTTGCCGGTAAATTTACATTCCTGGATGCCTGGGTGGTAGGTTTCAGCTTCTTTTTAAAGTGCTTACAGACCATGTACCTGATAAAATATGATTTCCTCCTTGTTTTTATTAGCTGTTCTCACACTGTCCTATCTTCCTTTGACTTGGAGTCCTCAGAGGAAACTGTAAATATAATGCATCCCTGGATAGTGACTATGTGTGCTGTCCTTAAATGTGGGAAATGGGTTTGGAACAAGGTTTGTGGTCTGGTCTCTGTTTTAACTAAGTCGCTGGCATAAGCTATTTCACTCCAATATGCCTCATTTTCTCCCTTTAAACAAATCTTTCATTTGTTCAAGAATAACATGAATCTTTCAGTTGTGGTAAAGATTTAGATAGTTACAGTACCAGGAAGTTTAGCATTGAACCCATTTAATCATCCAACCCTACAAACCTTAGTCATTTACCTTAATTATAAATAATAAAATTGAGGCAAAGATAGATTGAAAGTTTGCCCAAGATTGTGGCAGAATTGTGACTAGACCAAATAATCTATTACCTTCAAGTCCAATTCCAAGGCCCTTGGCAAAGTGCATGGCAGAGGGTGTATGCAGAAGTGCACGCTTCTCAGCTCACTATTACCTGTTTCACATCACTCATTAAAATCGAAAGTGATGAAGTTTCTGAGGTTTTCCTTAGGTCACTATCTGCCCTTGCAACTTCTATTAAAAAACAAGCAAGTAAGCAAGTAGTAAATGAATAGTGACGGAACAACACAAAGAAGTAACTGTTATTTTATCAGTTCTGTATGGAAGCTTGTATAGTTGTGAGTTTGTGTTCTGCTTCCCACCTTGAAAATGTATTAAGCCCCGTCTTTCTGAATAAAGTATTAAATTCTGAATTAAAATTTTATTGACTGTTCAAAAGAATACATAAGTACAGTGTGTAGAGTTCTCGCTGCATTGAAATTTAGGAGCTGGCAATAGCAAAAAAAAAAAAATTTAAAGATTTATTTATATTTACTTGAAAGACAGGTTTACAAAGAGAAAGAGAGACATGGTGTAAATCTTACATCTCCTGATTCACTCCCCAAAGAGCTGCAATGGCTGGAGCTGAGCTGATCTGAAACCAGGAGCTGGAGTTTGCTCCAGGTCTCCCTGATGGGTGCAGGGGCCCTACAATTTAGACCATTCTCTGCTGCCTTCCAGGACACAAGCAGGGAACGGAATGAGAAGTGGAGCAGCTGAGACAAAAGATGGCAGTGTTTGCAGATGGAGGATTGGCCTGTTGAGCTGAGGCCTCTGTATTAAAATTTATATTGCAAAACAGATGTGATATCTGAGGGAATGGGTAATGAATAAGAATGTTATTTGATAAGGTGAGTAGTATTGAAATGTTCTCCAGAAGATGCTTGAAAAATCAAGCATTATTCTTACCCACTATAAGAAGAAAGTAGAGTAAAAGGAAATTTGAGGGTAAAGTCTCGCACTCCCTCCTTTTTTCTCCCAGCCCTCCATATAACAAAATTTTCGACATATGTTTTTGAACCCATCAACCTTCACACAAACTTCATAAATAAAAAAACCTTTAACTCACAAAATACTATTTCACCTTGCTTAAAAGAAGTGTGTATGTGTGTGTGTGTGTGTGTGTGTGTGCACGCGCTCTGTTTTCTTTTCCCTTAAAAACCATATAGGTCTTTATCCCACTACCTAGTCTTGAACGTTTCATTGATACAGTAAAACAACAACAACAATAAAAAAACTAAACTGTTAAGTGGCCACTGGCCAGATTTCAGTTTCACTGAACCCCTTTTCTGGGTGTTCTTAAAAGAGCTCAATATGTCTGCATGGACTGCCCCTATTGCAAGCTAAACTATGACTAGTGGGGAGAGAAGTGACCCAGAACCAAGAGAAGTGATCTGTCACCCACCACAAGTGACAACCTCATGCCCCCGCTAACCCTGGACCCACAGGTTTGGGTGAGGCAAGAGCAGCAACATTGTAGAGCCTTCAGCTTCTACTCCTGCTCTCTCTTGAGCTGGGAAGGGGCAGCTCAACCAAGCCTAGAAGGGCATCCATGGCCTGGACTGAAATGTCCTTCTCATGCTTCTGCCAGCCCTGCTGCTGTGGACCCTTTAGTGATTTCTCCTCCTATTTCAGAGTGGTCCAAGCCAAGCCAGGATCCCTGGACTCCCTGCAGAACCGCCTAAAAGCTATTCTTTTCTGTGACAGGTCCTGGAGGAGCTGGTCGATGAGGGGCTGGTGAAAGCCCTTGGAGTCTCCAACTTCAACCATTTTCAGATTGAACAGATCTTGAACAAGCCTGGGCTGAAACATAAGCCAGTGACCAACCAGGTAGAATCTGTTTAGCAAGAGGGGGTGTCTTGTTTTCATACTTCTTATACATTGGAGGCAAGTTCAATGCCCTGTGCTGCGTCTCCACTCAGGCATCAGGATCAGGAATGCTTTGGGCAGGTGGAGACAGATCTCAGGGTGTGGTTTAGCAAGTCCTTCGGGGAGTGTTTTGTGTAGCCTCATTACGAACAGCTCAGAAGCAGGCCAACTACCGCAGTGATGAGGATGGTTTGTCCTTTCAGGTCGAGTGTCACCCATACCTCACACAGGAGAAACTGATCCAGTACTGCCACTCCAAGGGCATCTCTGTCACGGCCTACAGCCCCCTGGGCTCTCCGGATAGACCTTGGTGAGAGTTGGAGCACTGGATTCGCTAAGAAATGTCTAGGATTGGATACAGTTTTGCGTGAGACTAATGCACTGGAAAGAAAAATGTGTACAAGGCAACGTGTTTGGCATGTCTAAACGGCAGTGTGGTGAAGTAAAGGGGAGATGTGATGCCATTCCTGACCCTCCAGGACTACCCTGGTGCAGCCACACCGTGCTGAACCCACATTTGCCAAGGTCTGTGACTCCAGAGCCAACAGGGTCCCATGGGAAAGAAGACCTCAGAGGCTTCAAGTCCCTGCTGGTCTCACAGATGGAGAGGCTTCAAAGTGTTGTGGTCATCATTGTGGTGATGATTGTGTGCAGATGCCCACCGTTGTGGTTGTTTACACCAGCCATCTTTTTGTTCCTAGGGCCAAGCCTGAAGACCCTTCCCTGCTGGACGATCCCAAGATCAAGGCAATTGCTGAGAAGCACAAAAAAACCACAGCCCAGGTACACTGTGCAATTTTAAACGTTTTTGTTTTTGTCAAGCTATACTTACAATCATGTGATCGGTTTCCTTTTTCGTTTTCCTTTAAACTGTTGGAGGTGAAGAAAAAAGGACAGAAAGCTGCCTAAATGCTTTAAAAATCTGTTGAGACCTCCAAAACTGGGGTGGATATCTCTGAAGCCAGGGCACCTACTGCTGACAGCTCCTGTTTAAGCCCTTTAGCTCAGCAACGAAAGCATGACAGTCTAGCTTCAGTTCTCAGCTCTGCCAGTACTCAGCATTATAGTCGCAAGCTGCAGTCATTTTCTTTGCGAGGGAAAATCCCAGGGCTGTGTCTGCATTCCTGGGAAGCACCTGGTGTGGCATAGACTTTCAAAGTCCTCAAGTGCTCTTTACGGTCATTGACGGTCCCTTTCTGGGTAGGAGGTGACCTTGTAAATAAGATAATCGGTATGTTCCCTCTCCATGCAGGTCCTGATTCGGTTCCAAGTCCAGAGAAATGTGATTGTGATTCCCAAGTCTGTGACACCAGCACGTATTAAAGAAAACTTTCAGGTAAGATGCTGGTGGGTCTTCTGTGTATACTAAGTAGAGGAGATGACAGAAGAGACTTAGTTCACATGAACTTAGCCAAACCGGAATAACTACAAAACTCTCAGGGCAAGACACTGGCCTCTGTGGGCAGACTGATAAAGCCCAGGCTGACTTTGATGCAGCTGTGCCTCACACCACACAGAAGACTCTTGGTTGCCCCTGAGCAGGTGGGATCATGGGCCACACACAGAACAGGCTGTTCTGGCATAAATGTCCACCTCCTAGGAACAGAGGAGGTAGGGGCTGTCCTTGAAGAACTGTCTCAGAAAAACCCACTGATCCATCAGGCAGTGCAGACATGGTGCACACCTGTGCTCGTATGCCTGGGGTCTGGTCTCGTCCCTTTGGAACACTGAACCCTACAAACACTGCAGTCTGTGTAGAGAGAAATTGGTGTCCAGAGGACATGATGAGTAACACTCCAGAGGCCAGTATGTGCTTGTGTGAGAGCCGGATCTTACAGTCTACCAGCAAGTGCCTCATTGGTCATGTGTTGCCACTCTCCCAACTCCAGGTCTTTGACTTTAAACTGAGCGACGAGGAGATGGCCACCATACTCAGCTTCAACAGAAACTGGAGGGCCTGTCATGTGAACCAGTGAGTAGCGCAGAAGGGTTCTCCTAAGATGGGAGAGGGTGGCTCAATCCGACCTGTGATTGTGAGTGTGTTCTAGTTTTCCAGGGACTTCCTACTGTGTCCTACTTTGAATACTTCTCTATCCATTGCAGGGAGGGTCTGGTGGTGCTTATCTTCTAGAGGAGGTGCTGAGGGAGCACAGAGGGGCCAGCCACACTAGAGAAAACTGACTTTGAAACCAGTTGTGGCTTCTGTGGAACATGTTCTGTTCTTGTTTGCTTTTCTATAGTGCATCTCATCTGGAGGGCTATCCCTTCCATGCTGAGTACTGATGCTCATTCACCTGATGACATCACCTGTTGGATTTCCTCTTCCCTGAAGTCTAACTCTCCACCTGTGTCCCATGCCAGCCAATTTACCTCAGCTGCTGCGGGCCAGAACCTAAGCAATGTTGTGTCTAGGTCATACCTTCAACCAGGTACTAGTTGTCATAACAAAGTATGACTAGGATGAGCAAATGATAATTTTTTGATCTGATCAAATGCTTATTTGATGCCATCTTCTAATGCTGATTATGTGAACATAAGAAAATAAACGATCACAGTAGTCAACATGTGTTGTGAGTTTTGTATGCACCATCACTGTTTGAAAGAGTTGGTCACAAGTGAGGTCATTGACTCCTTCATGCAACCCCTTTAAGAAAGATAATTTTGGGCCCGGCGTGATGGCGCAGTGGTTAAAGTCCTTGCCTTGCACGCCCGAGATCTCATATGGGCGCCAGTTCTAATCCTGGCAGCCCTGCTTCCCATCCAGCTCCCTGCCTGTGGCCTGGGAAACCAGTCGAGGACGGCCCAAAGCTTTGGGCCCTGCACCCATGTGGGAGACCTGGAAGAGGCTCCTGGCTTCAGATTGGCTCAGCTCCAGCCGTTGCGGTCGCCTGGGGCGTGAACCATTGGACAGAAGATCTTCCTCTCTGTCTCTCCTCTCTGTATAACCGCCTTTCCAATAAAAATAAAATAAATTTAAAAAAAAAAAAAGAAAGGTAATCTCATTATTCACAATTAGAGGAGTTGAGTGGCCCAGAAACCTGCTCAAGGCCACTCAGGGTAAGGACCAGTTTCAAAGGCAGTCTGGCACTAGGAAAGTTTGCAGTAATTTGGTATCCTCTTTCTCAGTGTCTGTGCCACACACACACACACACACACACACACACACACACACACAACTACCTATAATCCTACCTTCCTTCCTCCCTCTGTTTGCCCTTATTCTTCTATGTCTTCTTCTAGTTTTTTCCTTTGTTGCTTTCTCATCTTCCCTGTAACACACTGCGATGTTCAAGAGTCAATGCAAAAAAGCATTCAAGAATTGAAAGGCACTATTAAAAAGGCCAAATATAAGAGTTGTGAGACTCCCAGAAGGTGCAGAAAGAGTAGCTGGGTTTACAAATGTATTTAATGAAATAATAAGGGGGAATTTCCCTAGTCTAGAGAAAGAATTGGGAAACAATATCCAGGAGGGGCACAGAAGAGAGAGAGAGAGATACATTTTGTCATTTAAACTGTCAGCAAACTGCTTTGGTCTTGTCCTCTCTGCTGTTCCACTAAAGGACCCTGAGCTGCTGTTCCTTCTCGATCAGGTGTCCAGGCAGGCAAGGGACCCTGTCCACCCCAGACCCTCTGTGGCTTATCCTCTCTTCCTGGCACACCTTTCTTCCCCACGGCACAGCCAGCAAGGCTCGGCATTGCATGCCAGGATTCCTTTCAGCCAGGGCAACCTTGGGTGCCTGCCAGTGTGCTCTTACTGATGGTCCTTCTGCTCTGGCTAGAGAGTCGGCGATGGCATGTGGTCCTGGCATGGATGTGAGAAACATTTTGAGGAATTGAGGGACAGCATTGGTTGTCAATCTCTTACCCAGCACCAGCCCCCCCACCACTCCCAAAGCCTTTTCAGATATCTTCCCATAATTGCTCAGGCCAGAAATATTTTATCATCCCCAACAATAGTGTAGGTATATCTCATATGCTTTAGCAGGGTATCAAGTGTTTGTTAACCTGAATGGTTTTTATTTTGTTTTCCCTTAAAGCATCAATTTTTGCTTGGCCTTCCCCTCTTCAGAACCAGAGATATTAACTTAAATATTACCCATGTAGGGCCCGTGCTGGGCCATCCATATTTCAGCCAAATGGTGACAATGGGATTCTAGAATGAAGTGCGAAGTATGCCAGCATTGGCCTATGACATATATTTGAACATTTAGCTAAGTAAGGTTGGTGTTGTGGCATGAAACCTTGACTCGTACATTTGTGTGAAAGTTTGCAAAAGGTAGTGCATTGGAACATTCTCTTGAAATTTCCTCTATTGTATTCTTTATGGAGACTCGTGGGTATGGTACATCTTTTTTTTTATGTATTTTAAAATTTGAAAACAAGGAAAAAAAATTTCTGACTGCTGGTTCACTCCCAAATAGCCAAGTATAGGCCAGTCTGAATCATGATGTGGAAACTCTATCTGGGTAACCCGTAGGGAAGCAGGAGTCCGGGCTGTTGGGCCATCTTAGCTGCTTTCCCAGGCTCCTTCCCACCGAGTTAGATGGGAAACCGAGCTGCAGGCCCTGGATTCTGCCCTCTGCTGGGGAATGCTGGGATTGCATGCCACAGCTAGCACTGCATCCTATGACAGGACCATGGTAGATCCTAAGCCTTGTTTACCTAGCATTTGTAGGGTTGACTTGCCCCACAAAATGTCAGGGTGCAATAGCTTCTGCCTGACCTCTTGAAGTCACTCTATAAAAACTTCTTACACATTTTATGTTTTCCAGTGTGTATCAGTTGTTCAGTGAGGTTGATTACCTAGTCTCCACTCATGGGGACAAGAAACTACATATATTTAGGGTGTTGATTCTTTGACCTTTCAAATGAGAGTTGATGACTTTGTCCCAGCATTCAGGTTTGTCAGTGAGGTCACCAGGATTCTTTTTCTGCTCTGTCTTCTACCAGTGGCTCCAGACCAGCAATGGTGAGGCCACGAGAAAGCTTCTGTTAGCAATCCAGCCCACATCCAAAGACAAGTCTCCTGCCTTGTTTTAGGGTAAGTGTTGGCCCTGCCAGACCTAAGGACTCACCCACACTGTCTCCAAACTGCTAGGCAGCCTCATACTGTGTGCCCCTCTTCTTTCTCTGGATCTGCTGTACCCCACAGTTTGAGCGTGGTGTCTCCTGAGTTGGTGAGAGCTGTGGCTGCCGCATGCCACTGGCTGTCCTGCCTGGCTGACCACAAGAGGCGTTTCTGAGCTCTGTCCTCTTGTCCCATGAAATCTCAATTATTATTCACTTTCATTGCTTTGTGAAAATTTTCTGTCAGTCAGAAATCTGAAAACACAGTTTTCCATCCATTCTTTTCAAATCCCAGAGCCTCCCCCACCAACCTTTTACAATGTTTTTGGAATTTGGGACATTTTTTTAAAAATGTACTGACTGTAGACCCTAATACAAGGACAACCATCTCTGAGTAGAGCCTGTGAAATGGCCCTGGAGTCTTCCACCTTCCACTTTAATGCCTTCCTTCAGTCTTTTCCAGCTACACACAACCACAAGCACTTTTTTGGTGTTATCCTCCATCTGTACTCCTCCTCAACAAGCTGTCAGACTACAAAACTCCTCTAGAACACATGTTTTTGTTCTCCGTCTTCATTATATTAATGGTTTGTTTCTTTACCCTCATCATATATTTGAGACCCCTTGAAGCTTATAATCCAAATTTTCTAATGCTGCTCCCCTTTCACTTCCTGCTTCCTGTCCAGAGGGTGGACATGTAAAATGACCAGTGACCACAAGGTGGCACTAGAGACCCACCTATGTTGTCAGGCACTTGTTCACCTGGTCAGGTAGTCATTGATAAAATGATTCCTTCTCACATTTGAAGGAATCAGAAGGTAGAGGAAACTATTAAAGGTCAATGAATGCTGGGAGATCAAATGGCTGAGCACACAAAGAACTTGAAGTCTATACAATGTGAGTCAAGGAAGTGGCTAGACCTAAATGGTGTGAGATGACAGGTATTGTCAGGTTCAGTTTCTAACCATTTCAGATCTACATATGTGGCCATCTTTCCCTTGCTTTATCCTGAAGAATTTTCTATTTCAGAGTAAATTACCACCCATAAGCCTCACTAAATCTTTTTTTAAAAAGATTTATTTTTATTTTTATTTTTTTTATTGGAAAGGCGGATATACAGAGAGGAGAGACAGAGAGACAGAGAGGAAGATCTCCTGTCCGATGTCTCCAAGTGAGCGCAACGGCCGATGCCATGCCGATCCGAAGCCAGGAGATTCCTCCAGGTCTCCCACACGGGTGCAGGGTCCCAAAGCCTTGGACAGTCCTCGACTGCTCTCCCGGGCCACAGGCAGGGAGCTGGAAGGAAAGCGGGGCCACCGGGATAGAACTGGCGACCATATGGGATCCCGGACGTGCAAGGCGAGGACCTTAACCACTTGCGCCACCGCGCCGGGCCCCAAGCCTCACTAAATCTTTAGTCTTGACAGCTTATCCCTAGTGCTAGATGAAATCAAACTTCCTGTTTTCTAGGTAGCCCTGTGTCCCAGTTAAAATTATAATGGTTTGTACATTGTACCTTTTCATTGTTGAAAGCTACTCTTACAGTGATAATTCTGGTGGAAAATGAAAACATGGAACTGTTTTCAAATACCAACACAAAGAAACAAAAGTGCTATTACAGTACCAAAGTATGAAGTCTTCCCTTTGTTCATTGAATTTTTCCTGAATTGCCATGGTGGTTGTCATTTATTGTCCTTTTGAGGATGGAAAAATCTTGAAGTATCTATGATTATAACTCAAACTGTTCATCCTGTATTGTGCAATGCCACTTTAAGATGTGAATGTGAAAGCAATAGCTTCTAGAATCTCCAATTTTGGACAACTCACATTGGAGCTCATACTTAAAATGCACATTGCTCTTACCATAACACTGGAGAGAATTAGCTGCACAGAATTAACTCAAAGTTTTGAATTTCACCTGTTGATACATACAGAGTTGATTAGTGTCTTCTACTTTGGGGTTACCAATGAGTAAGAATGCACTGACAGGAAAATAAACTATGATTTTCCTCACCTTTTCCTGTCTTCCATGTCATTTTCAGCATCCATATTTGCTTAACAGGCAAAGCTAACACAAGTAATGACTTGTGTGATTAAGTCAACCTCACCCCAATGATCTGGCTATCTTAAAGGCAACAGACTTGGGACATTAATTATACTTACAACATCCCTTTTACCATATAATAGGATGTAATAGTCAAGGCATATCCTATTCATATTCATTTGCTCTGCCTGTACTCTAGGGAATGAGATTATGAAAAGGTGAGAATTAGTGGAGTTGCCACAGAACTGATCCTACCACATCGGTCATGTGGAGTTGACTTCCAGGCCTGTAGTGGACTTGACCCTACTAGGTAAAGTCCACCTGGTCAGATGGATAAATGCCCAGGAAACCACTCCTTTCATATCAAGCAATCAGGGATCTTCGATAGTGGTAGCAAATGTCAATTGTGGGACTAGACTGAATGAGGCAGAATTTACACAGCAAAGTAGAG